AGATAATAAAGAAAGTGATGATAATAATGATGAGGAACAAATTTTTTCAAATAATACACAAATGTCTTTATCAGAAATTAATAATATTATTAATTCTGTCAAAAAAGTAATATATAACGCATTATTAAATATTTTAATTCACCATTTAAAATTGCTGTATTTACTAGCTTTTTAGATTCAAAATTTAAAAAAATGTATAGATGGCCTGAAGAAATATGTGAAATAGCAATATTTTCATTAAAAAGTAAATATTATTTATTAAAAAATGAAGAAACTGTTATGCCTTAAATAAATTCAAGAAATAATTATCTAATAAATAGGTTTAAATTACATTTATTTAGATCTATGAAATAATGAAAAAGATGATAAAATCAATTGCTATTTGCATAATTTTAGAACTTCACAAGCTATATTCAAAATGGATCCATTTCAATAGTGGATTGATAATAAAAAGAAATTCCAACTTTATTTAAAGTAGCTAGAAATATTTGAGTGTACTAGCCACATCTGTTTTAAGTAAGCGGCTTTTTAGTAATGCTAGAAATCAAATTACCAAAGATCAGATCAGTTTAAAACCAGAGACTATTAATGAATTATTGTTTATAGTAAATATTATAATCCTTTTGTATAATTATATGTTGGCAAATTAAAGAGATTTTAGTAGTTATTATAATATTTGTAATTAATAAAAATTAGTTTATTGTAATTTTTGATGCTTATATTAATATTAATAATCAATCAATGATCAAGCAATTAAGAAATTGATCACATATGATCAATCAAATAAATCAATTTTTAATCGATCAAGTAAGTAAGAGATTGACTAAATCATTAATTATAATTTTTTTATCAATTAAATGCCTTAAGAGTAACTATTTACTTATTATTTCTATATTGATAATGAATAAATAATATATGTCTAAAATAACTTCAGAAAAGATTACAAATGTAGGGTTCTTCATAATTGATAAAAGAATATGGTAGGGAGAAGAATGCTTAAATTAATAGATATAAGATTTAGACTAACATTTTCAAAAAAAAGAACAAATATTTTGCAGACATTCTGTAATCTTATTTAGTGAATTTGGGTAATTTTTACTAATATGCAATATATCTATACATATTAATATTCTATTATGTAATAATTTAGTAAATAGTAGAATAGTAGCATATAAGCAATTTAAAGAGGTATACAAACTGGATATAATTTAGCAGCAATCTGAAAATGAGTAACAGAAATTCTGAGACATACTATTAAGATTACGAGAAAGGAAAAGTATGTTAAATGATTATATTATTTTCACAATATAATTTAAAGAAAACTTAAGTGAGATTAAATATAATAGTTTTTAAAATGCTATATCTTTATTAACAAAATGGATCAAAATAGATAAGATAAACAATAAGATGCTTATAAGGTTGAATAGACTAATAGCAAAAATATGTATAGTATATAATGAAGGAAAAGAAGTTAAGTATATAAGCTCAGAAATTTCAAAGAAGCTCAAAATACAAATATTTTCTTGCAAAAGAAGCACAAATTATGCTAACTTTAAACCTATGAATTAATGTAAGTTTGGTGAACAGACCTATGAAAATTGTAAAAGATATATTGTTCAAAAGGTAGAGATTATTATCACTTCTAATAGCAGTATTCATAAATTTTAAAAAATATAATAGACTTATCATAAAAACCAGAAAAATAAGAATATAATTCTAATAGTACCTATTAAACACAGCTAGAAAGGTAAAATGTGATAACTTATTTTAAAATTCAAATACCAGTTTATCTTGCATAGGTAATTATCATATATAATAACTAAGGTTAATGTTAAAAAAAGTTAAAATAGATATTAGAAGTAAGGAGTTTGCAATAGATTTTACGTTAATAGTGCTTTCATAAGCTCAGATTCTAAATGATATATATCTTAAATAATTCAGTTTTGATAGACTTAAGCATATAAAAAACTGTAAATAACTTCAAAAAAGAAAGAAAAAAGAAATATAATTGCATTTAAAGATATAATAATATGATCATTCAAATAAAAAATGGAAAAAAAACTGTATATTATTTTTAAAAAGTATATTAATTATATAAAATTCAATTTTTTTTATAAAATTTAAGTATTATTTTATAAAATATATTTGATACATATATTTCATTATAAGAATTTTTAAAAAATAAAAAATAAAAAAATATAAATAAAAATAAACATTATCATTTATCTATTGAATTCATACAAAAAAGAAAATTAGTATATATATTTTTATTTTAATAAAAGTATTTACTTAAGTTACAAGTGAAAAAAACATTAGGTGAAGTTGTAATGAAATTTGAATTAAAGAAATATCTTAAATAGCTAAAGTAGCTGAGTAAAGGAATTATCTTTTTTTTTAAAAAAAAAATATAAATAAATACTTTTAAAAGTCTTTATATTTTGTGATAATTTTTATAAAATTAAAATATGCTATTTTATGAATATTATTTTTTTATTAAATATCTGAAAAATTCACTATTTAAAATTAATATCTTAAAATAAAAATTATATTTTTTTATGAAAATTTATTCATAATTTCAAATCATCAATTAATTCAATATATTACTATATTTTGATATTTCATTTAAAATATTATATATTTTGAGTTAAATTGTAAGATATATATCTTTTATTTTTATCACTTTTATTTTTATGATAACACACTTTTTGAATCCTATTATCAAAGAATATGAGATTATTAAAGAATGCTAGCTTATCAGATAATTTATAGAAAAAGCTAATTAAATTATAATTCATCAAATAATTGAAGTCATTTTAAAAATGTTTGAACTATAATGTTAAGTGATCTAGTTATTATTATTATCTTTTTTATTCTAAATAAGTATTAAATTTTATTAAATTTTATAAATATCAATATATATATATAATCTTAATATTTTAACCTAAACAATTTTTCTGATTTTTTGATATTGGCATGCATTCACAAATTTTAAAATGAGAATTTAAAAATTTTTCTTTTGCTTGATACTTAAAACTAATAATAATATTAAATAGCATAAGATTTTTTATACTAATACTTGTTTATAAATAAGATTAACATTGTTAGTTTTCTAATTTAATAAATAATAAATAAAATAATGGCAACTACTAAATAAAAACTGTTATAGTTGATTCTTTTAGTTGACAAATATTTACTAGTAAGTATTATATATATATAAGAGTGACCTTTAAACTATATACAACTTTTCATGTTCTAAAATTTATTATTTAAAGAATAGTTATTAAAGTGAGTTTCTTTCAAACTTTATGATATGAATTCTATAATAACTTACAAAAAACTCATTATTTGCTTCTTCAGTTTATAAAAATACTAATTAAAATAATGAATATTACTATTAAAAAATAGAGATTTAATACTTTTTATAATTGAGCTTAACTTTATTACTATGTTAATTCATATCAAATTTTGACATTAAACCTATTGTTAAAAAAATATCTGATTTGTCATTAAAGACAACTATTTCTATTTTAACATTTTGAATACAATAATATCTAACTTATTTACTATTTATGTAGATATTTAATTTCTTTTCAGATTCAGAAAAGGTATAAGCTATATGATACATCTATCAAAACTCCATTGTTAAGTTCATATATTCCTACATTATTAGTAAAGTTGCCAGTGTAGTGAGTATATAATGAGAATATTTTTGGTAATAACTTGAGCCTAGGTGTTTAGATAAATGTTTCAATACCTAAATATACATTTGTTTTATTTGAGATCAAGGAAACAAGATTTTAAGTTAAAAAAAAATCGGATCTGCTTTTGTGAAAAATAATAGTCTAATTAGAAGTATGACTTTGAAGTTTAAATTGTAATATTAATTAATAGTTCTTCTTGTTTTTCTATGCTACCTAGCTTTAAAATTTAGTGTATTATAAAAAGAGGTTATAAGTTTTTTTTAGATTATATTGTTGCAGTAGTTGAAAGTAAATAATAAAAAGTATTTTCTTTTTATATATTTTCTGATTGTATGGTCAGAGAAATTCATCTAAAACCTGACCAATTATGTTTATAAAAGCCTGATAATTAATGAAACTCAACAAAATATTTTGATAAGATCAATAACTGTTGATGATGAAGCTTTTGCTGAATATCAAAGTTACAAAAAATATATATCAGGAAGACATACTAAAGAAACAAAGATTATTTTTTTTGTTGAACCAAACCAATTGATAAGTCATCAGTAATTTTTTTTAATTTTTAAAAAATGTAACTAACTTACCTTTGTACCTTGGTCTTGGTTCTTGAAAAAAGTTCTAATTAATAATATGTTATACTTTTAAAATATAAAATAACTTACTTTGTAAAACGATCTGTTGTAAATATTATTGCACGAATATAATTATTAAACTATTAAACGAATCATTCCAAAAATTCTAGACTTAATCCACTGGGACCGGTCTTTTAAATCATTCTGTTCTAAAATTTATTCTAATTAATAAGCCCGATCCTTGAGTCCATTTTGTTTTATATAAAATGGTAATGAAAATAACTTTGTTATTATACGACAACAAGGATTAAAAGTTATCAACTTTTGAGTGTGGTGAAAAATTTTTCTGTTAATAAATGTAACCACAATAATTTCATCAATTATTTGCATCCTTATTATAACATTCATAGGATGGCCAGGAAAGTAAATATTTATTCAGTTATTTGTTGGGTTTTTTTATTTTTAACATAAAATAATTATATTGATAATGAATTTGTTACTCTGCATATAAGAATTACTACACCTGATTACATTTTAACAACAAATGAAAACAACATGAGTTTGCCAATTAAAATTCTCTTCTCAGAGGATTGTAGACTTGTCCTTTATTCTGATACATATAATTGGATGTGAAATTTTACATGTCAACATTTTTGATTATAGATAAAGTTTTAAGAAATTAAAAATGATACACACTAGCTTTCTTATCATTGTAATAATTCTATTACTAATTAGTAAATCTCTTTATAACACGAAATGTTTGCTGTTGTATATGAAATAAATCGATAATAACATCATTCGAGATTGGATATGGTGAAAGCGGTGGATGTTGACGAGGACAGCCTATGTAAATACAATGTGGTGAAATACTCAAAGTACGCATTTCTGGAGCAGAACATCCATTATATAGTCGATTTTCTGCATCAATAGTTCTGAATTAAATCCGAAAAATATAAATATATAACGTGATATTGAATAAATAAAACGAATAGAATTCAACTGCCATTAAGATTATAGTTACAGGGCAAAACCCTAAACCCAATTTGGCAAAATTAGAATCTTTTCAGAAATTATTTCGACAGTTTCGATGGGTTTTGATGGGTTTCGATGGGTCTCGAAAGTTTCGACAGTTTCGATAACAACTTTACGAAATTCGACGGGTTTTAACTGATTTATTGTATCGCAATGTATAATATAAAATGAGGTTTTAAATTTGTAAGCACAGGAACGTGTTGAAGAATTAGGAGAATTACCTTATAAAGATGATGATGATAGAGGTTGGAACTGGGTTTATTTTTATCCGGTTCCAACCTCATATCATCGCACATAAAAGAATTTCATATTAATGCAATGTTAGTCATAATAGATGAATCTTTCAGTCATTGTGCTGCATGAGATGTTGTTTTATCTCATTTCAAATTTTACCATCTACTAGTTCACACCTTAATTTAAAAGAAAATTTTTGATTAACGTTTTTTATTTTTATCAATATATGATATTATTATAAAAGAAAATTACCTTTAATATATATACAAAAATAATAAATTTTAAAATTCAAAATTGTATTTTATATCAAAAGGTTTCGATGGGTTTCACCACCCGTCAAAACTTTCGCAATTTTGCCTTCAATAAAAATATTTTGCAAAACGTTTCGACGGTTTCGATTTCGATGCCTGTCGAAACACCGGGTTTTGCCCGGCAACCTTAATTAAGATATTAAATTATACTGGTAGGTAATTCCCATTGGAATCTTGAGAGCTAGTTCTACGACAGAATTTATAGCACTACAAAAACCAAGGGCAAGTTATTAGGCAAATGAAATAAGTGAAATGACACTAAAAAAAAATACCGAACTGTTAAACGGCGTAGAGATTCGATTTATGGTATGGGTCGATTGCTAGGAAAATCAGGTTCCGTGAATTTTTTAACGAAATTGAGATTTTTATTGAATTTTAGGTTTTGATGTTATTTGATTAAAATGCATTAAGCTCTTAATTTTAGTGAAAAATTTCTCGGAACCTGATTTTCCTAGAAATCCTCCCATATGTTCTATTTCATTTCCACAACTTTAATACAACTTCAACTCGATTTGGAGCTAACCAAAATTGAGTGGTCTTTTGGATAATACTTTCAAGACTTTGTGAATTAACAACCTCAACAATAACGGTTGGCCAAGGATTACCCTATAACCATTACAAATTTAAATCCAAATTACTCTTTATTTTTCCAATAACATAATAAATTCAAGAAAACATGCCTCAGTATCACATGGATTTGAGCTGGATTAGGGAGAAGGTTTGGTACAAATGAAGCATCCGACTATTTATGAGATCCTCTGCCTCCAAGAGCTGAAGCAGCAGAATAACAAAGCTGAATACAACAACAGAGTTAAGTTCGCAAATTTAGCAAACTGGAGTGTACATACTTGTGGATCCAGAATTGGTAACTTTATCTTGAAGTTGTAAATTAGAAAAAGCAGATAAAATTGTCCTGCGAATTCAGTATGTGTTACCTCATGATCACGTTTTGGCAATTCGATTATGATTACAGTTCTATCTCGACATTCCCAGAACTTTGATGTATTCGCGCGCTCACATTTCTTTTCAAACTCTTTATAGTTAACAGCTTCCACAAGTATCAGTGGGAGTCTAATAAAATTAAACTAATTTTAGCAAGGATAGTAGAAATAAAATTTTTTGTTTTGCCATGACCTTACCTTTTTTCGTCAATAATTTTGTAATTTCAGTCGCTCCACCATTTTTTCTCATTTTTATTTGCTTTATTAGTAACTACTTCTTCAACATTAGATTTGATAATTTTGACAAACTCCTGAAGCGTCAACTCATCTGCATTTGGATTAGATAAGGAAGATGACGAGCTGCTTAGGACAGAAGCTAAGGAACTTCGACGCGAACTTAGAGAGGAAGAAGATGCTCATATTCTGTTGCAAACATCTTTTAAAAGCTAAAAGTTTTAATATTAGCTAAATGAAATGTTTGGAAATAAAGAGGAGAGGTTAAAGTTTTATTTGCTTTCAAGACTGAACGATAAGAAAGTCTGTCAAAATATTTAACTAGTTAATATTTATTGTTTCAAATGAAGAAAGGAGATGATTTAAAACTAGAAAGAAAGAAGCGCGTATAAATATGTAAAGTTGATTGGTTCTGCTTGTTATGACATGACAAAATTTGGCAAAAAAGGTTACACCAAATAATGAAATCTCTAATGTGTCAATATTAATACTTTACTTACAATCTTCAACGCAAATTTGATCATCAACAACGGAATTACGTAGCATTTACATCTCTAAAATTTTCATCACATTATTATAAAAAAAAAGGTAATTTAAGAAAATAATCATTAACAACGCACTAATTGAGTAAGACCACATTGAAACTGTTTTATAAATGATGCTATCAAGGTTGCCATAAAGATGGCATGAACGTTTTTTTCCAATATTAATTTTGTAATAGAAGTTTTGGTCAATAATCAAAGGCAATATCAACATGTTGAAAGGATATTACTCATAGATTAGGTAATACACGCATCACATAATATTGAAGAAAAATTATGATATCTCTTAATATTTTTAGACCTTTACCTAATTTTCTCACAATCAGATCGATGATTTGTTACTACTAACGCTGAGCTAATGAAATAATAACCTATTGATTCAAAGGAATTTCTCTTAAAACTTTTTTTCCATGTGTTTTAATCTGTTTACCGTTGTAAAAAAAAAAAATATTCGATCACTGCAACTATATATAAATTCGAAGGGACGAAATTCACCGCAGACCGCTTCTGGTCGAGTCGAAGATGAGGTACTTTGATTGTAATTGCGGTTAATCCAATTAAGTCCACCAGAATTTATGATCATTGTAAAATGGTTCTTTTTATTGGGATTATTCGTTAATCTTTTTTTTAAAATCAATTCTTTCTGTTAGGAAAATTAATTTTTAAAAATAATTTTTTTTTTTAGTAAGCTCTTTTAAAATAAATTCTTTTGTTAGGACATTGTTTAAAAAGAAGTGATTCTCTTCCCAAAAGTCGTTTATATATATATATTTGACAACAGTTTCACGTGGAAATACGGTAACTCGAACATGTTTTAACCTGGTTACGTAAATATAATTTCCGTTTTAGTAACATTTATATTTCGCTTAGAAAATTGTCTTTGTCATTTTTAGTTAGACCTAAAAGAAAATATTTTTTTTTTCATTCAAACTTCTGACCTACCAACCCACGTTTAATTAGTAAACTAATAATTCTTGTATTTAAGTTGACAATTTTTAAATAAGTAAAAGAAACACATTCCCAACATTAAGCGGATCTTTGTTTGATGACTTTTTAATAGATGAGGATATAGCAAAATATGCTTCAGTAGACCCAATGACACTAGTATATCAGGATTGTCTTTCCGGAGAGGAGGTATTCCATGCTAAGAATGTGAGTATTCAATAATATTTTATTATATTTTTTTAACAAAACAATTTAAAGTCCGAGATAATGAAAGATGAGAACTTGATGAGAATTAAGCATAAAAAAAAATATTTGATGTTTTAGTTTAATAAAAATTACATGCGAAAATAGTAGTTAAAGTAAAAAGTTAAAATTATCGTATCTGTTCAATTAATTATATTACTATTGTTACGATTGAATGTAAATCCTGCCGAAATCTTCATAACTTCGTATGAAAATCGTTTTTGATAATTATAGTTAGTCACGGTGCCAGGATGACAAATGGTCAAAATGCCAGGCTGACTTAATTAATATTTTTTTATATATATCGAGCTGGAAATCCTAAAACAGCTCAATATCCCATGCTCGCCTTTAATATATTTCTTTGAAAACATTCCCTTCGCAATCCTCCTTTTTACACCTTCGCGATAATTTCGATTTTCGCCGTTTTAACTTTATGATTTCGCAATTGTAACATCGTTTATTATTTTTATTTCAATTTCCGATTTTATTAGTATTTCTTTATTCAATTTTTATGTAATAGTTTCGTAATTTTCGCAGTTTTAATTAATTAGAATTTAGTATTTGACATTTATAGAGTTTAAAATATTGATCAAGAGAAAGTGTAGAGCGTCGACGTTGAGGCAACACTGATTAATTTGATATTATTAAATAAATATTTTTCATTTTTATTCAATAATTATTCATTAATACCTTCTGCTCCCATTACAAATTGTTTATAAATACATAAACGAAAGAACTGAATACAACAATACTTAATTTGTATGTTATGATTTCTTTTTATCTGGCCAGGCAATCTTTTTTACAGCATTCCTCCTATTGTCAAAATACTATTTATTTATTCTACATTATTAGTCTAGAATCTTATGTAAAACAATGGACAATTCCCAAAACATATTAAGAACCTAGAGTTCCATTATACTGTCGGAGGAACCGGGTCGATTCTGAAGCGTGCTACTTCCATGAAAAAGTCTATCAAATACCTCCAAATTAAACTCAGAAAAGCAAATTGTTATTTCATTTCTTTATATTTTGCTTCTCTATTTCAAACTTTATAAAATGTCGGATAAGAGTAAAATCTTACTATATTGTTTGATAATTATTATTTTATGAGCGTATTATATGATCACGAGACCTAAGAAATGACTATAAAAATAATTTTTAATATATTAGAATATACATGTTTTTACTTATATTCTCAATCAATTTATATTATTTAGAAATGAGTCATGATCGAAGAAGGGCAAAAAAATCTCCCAACAGAGTAATTTTTTTTTTGTTATATTAAAATTTTTCCTTCTATAAAAAAAAGTTACACAAATGTTAAAATCTACGAAAATAAATATTAAATCCTAATATCGTTTAAAACAATTTCTCAAGAGAAAAAAATAAATAAACCTATTCCATTTGAGTAAAGAAATAGTACAAAATTAAACTAAAATAATTTTTAGCGATTATGTTTATTGTTGCTTTTTATATCTTTTATTTTTTTCCTAAATTCAAGTGTTTGAAGGTATGCAATAATTTTGAATTTAGCTTTTTTCTTTCACCAAAAAGGTAGTCTTCTGAATGATGATGACCGTCGCACCATCTTAACTTTTTAAGTTACATTATAACGTTGAAATTAAGCTTTATGCCTTCCTAGCTATTTTCGAAAACATTTTTGGAGTAAATTATATTGCATAACAATCGAAGTACCATTTCACTGTTAAACATTTTTTTAAGAAAAAATTTTCTTTTTATTAATCCATCAAAAAATTAACAAAGAAAAATAAACACAGGTTCTGATGAAATGAAACTATAATGGTCAAGTTATAAAATCATTGAAAGCATATTAAATAATCCGTTAAAAATCAAAATCAAAATGTAGGAATTTCAGATTTTTATTATTAATATAAAAATAAAAAAAGGTCATCTTATTAATATAAATCTTTATCCATAATATACTTTGACAATTACATATAATATTGTCAAAAAAATGTTTAACTAAATTCATAATCATGGCTGATCATAGGTCAGCCTTAATATTTGAAAGTATTTTATATAATTTTAATTTGATTTTTAATAGCCCATGATGTTCTTTAATAAATTTTTGATTTTTAATTTTATTTTTTTTATGTTTATTTTTTTATAATAACTTTTTTTTGATTTTGATTTTGGATTTCATTTTTTTTATATTTTTTATTATTATTATTTTTTTTAATATGTTTTTATTTTAATTTTCATTTTTATACAACCTTTATTTATGAGATCTTTTTTTTTTTTAATTTTATTTTATTATTTTTTTTATTTTATTTTTCTTGATAATCATAATTTTCTCTGATTTTGATTCTTAGATTTCATCAAGTAATAATAATCACGAGTTATTGATATAATGCAAATTAAATATTATTTTGCAATTTATCTTTTTTTTATAATCAAGTAGTAAAGTAGTTATCTGCATATGCATAACCTTAAATTTTTAAAAAAACCTTTGTATTGTTCAGTTATAAAGCTCTAAAATTTGTGAAATCCTTTAAAATAGGAGAAATTATGAGGCTAATAGTACTGGTTTAGCTTAATACTTAGCAAAAAGTGGCAAAAGATGAGTCAATTGAATTACTAATAATTATTCATAATAAGCCATGTGTTAGGCAATTCAGCAAAAATTAATCTTAAAGAAATCAGACATTAGTCTAAAAACTTTTGGATACTAAGTATAAAATACTAACTGAAGATATCAAAGGAAAAGTTAACAGTTATTAGAATGCCTATTTTAGTAATGATATAAGTGAAGAATAAGCTTTAGCACTTAATCTATTCATCTGATTTTGAAAAAAGCGAAATTGAAAAAAGAATAAAACTCATTTTAGACAAAACCAATTAGAAAGAATTTAATAGAACAATACTTCTGATTGTGAGTTATTCAACCATTTGTTGTGGTAAAAGAATTGTAAAAGGTTAAATCAGAAAATCTCCAAGTCATCTGAAAGAAATTAATTCAAGCTAATAATATTCTAACTAAAGAATATTATAAAGCTGATCAAGCTGAAAAAATTGTTGAAGAAATTAAAGTTATAGAAAAAGCAGCTATGGAAAAAATTAAGCAACAAATTAGAAAGTGAAACCCTTCTTTATTAAAGGCTACCCATTTAACAGAATTACTTAAATATAAAACAATTGGCAAAAAATTCTAACTAATTGGCTTGAAAGGTGAAATTAAAGTCTTAATTAAAGTTTACTGCCAAGCAGCAAAATCTAACACTGATGAAAAAAACTCTGAATTAATCACTAAAATAATCAACAAACT